TTGGCTGAAAGTAGACCTGTTTGATCATAGGCGTGGTCCATAAAGCAGAGGCTTGACCATGAGAATTATTCGGGTTCTTAAGCCTCAATTTATTCTCCCAGAGGCAGAGTGTGGGAAATAACGCCGCGAGTGGCACAGATGGGGTGGCATGTGTTCAGTGAAATACTTGAACCAAGGAGATAGCAGATGGATCCTATGGGACAAGGAGACTCTGATAAGGCCCATGGAAGGGGGACTGCGTAACAATATGACAGACTGATCAATATTTCCAGTACAAGAGTGAAGAAGCAGTGAGAAATTCAGTGGGTTGTGGAGAATTATCATAAAATCTGCTCAAAAGGGAACACCATACCCCATTTAAAGTAGCAAGTAAAAAATTGTGATAGTGAAGGGGTGATACGTGGATATAGGATCGGTGATTAGCCCAAGGAGAGATACCATATTTGTTTAGCAGACAATTGGTCAGAGGATCGGCTTCACTTGTCTCTTTGACGAGTTTTAGTGTGGTGCTAAGACTGGCAATGCTTACTGACAATGCCGGTAAAGCGTCTGGGAATATACCACGTCCACGGTTAGACTTTGGAAATTATCATGTATACTATGGACTCCAGACTAGGTGCGTTCATCTAGATCTTTCTACCAATATGACCAAGTTGCGAAAACAAAGTCAAACAACTTCTACATAACGAAAGGTGACTGCGACCATACACGCCATCTAGGTCTTCATACCTTCGGGTAAACAATGATATATCGGGAAATTCCTGGGAAACCAATTACTTTTAGCATATTTTTCATTCGCCAAAATATAGATAATATCAAGAGAGACAAAAGTTACATCAATTCATATATGCAGTGAGGACGAGGAGACAAAGTCAATATAAAATCAACAATATATAAGATTTAGTATTTTCTTGCCCACTATATGATCAAATAAGCTTCAGCAACGAGAATTATCTAATCTTTCATCACAGCCCGTGCAATTACGGCTGACGGCAAAAACTATTGATACTGACTTCTTTCATAACATCAAAGCAACCGATAAACAACATCCTAAGAAATAGTCAACAAATTGTCAGGCTATATTGGTTTGAATGTTATTTTATAAAAAATAGGAATATAGTATTGTTTAGCGACCCTTCAACCTAAGCATCTGGACTGGCCAATATTGTCAACCTACCCAGCATAGGTTATTATTGATTTGAGACTAAGTGAAAGCTCTCCATTTACACCAGGATGTTGGCATATAAATTTATCTATCACAATTAAGCACACTTTTTAATACCGAAACAGTCTGATGAAAAAGTGAGTCCCCTACCTAGTAGGTACCATTCAACAGGTACCAAACTAAATGATAATTAAAAAAGACACTAATCAGGAATTAGGCAACTTCGCGCATCTGCATGAACCAGTTCCGATTGGTGAATAATGAAATCATATAGGTGAAGCATACCTCACTAGCCTCGATCGTTGCCTCGTGGATATAGGAGCCATCCTTGTACTCGCCAGCCTCCCAATCACCATAGCGCAGATCAGTCAAATGCCAAAATAAGGGGCCCTTTGCCCCATGAGGTTGTAGAGTGCTTGATGCCTTGTCGAATGCATCAAAAGTAGGAGCCTCGTTAACATAGGCATAGAGGTCCATTAGGGCACCAGCCGCAAAGAGGTTGGAAGCGGCACCTAAGGAAGGATGGGTCGGATGACCAGGGACGCCACTCTCCGAGCTAATCGGCCCAGGAGTGGATGGTCCGCGGCGGAAGAAACTGAAAACAGCGTAGCTGATGAAAAGACGCAGAGCAAATGCTTTAAGCATACCCCAAGTGTTTGTGTTGGGCTGCCGATCGCCTGCAGCCTGCCCGGGAGGCACCTCACTGATGGCCTGTGTGCCGGCAGTCTTATGTTTAAGCCAATTGGATAAGGAAAGTGGATCGCAGGAGATACAAACAATAAGCCACAAAATCATAGGCAGTCGTAAGGTAAAGAATAAGGCTTATACTGCTTGTAACAGACTAAACACTGATATAAAAGTGAAATTGTTCGTTTTATTGACAACACTCATCGATGGACAATATATCCAATACGATGAGATGTATTAAACCTATTTCGTTTAAGGTGATGGATGGTATAGATATACTGAAGTAGAGCAGGAAGTACAGTTAACATTTTAACCAGAAAATACTCGTACAATAGGTCATTTAAGAAAAAGTGATCCATAAATACAATCAGATTTTATATGTACTCAATTGAAAATGAAGGAAATTTAAGAAATAGGGGATACAGATATTTACTTATGAATCGAAATAAGTTTAGGAATAACCCGTCATAAGACAAATTACGGATTTTGAAAAAAAAACTTTCCAAACAAGCCCATATACACACTAGTAGAATAGTGTCAGAGGGAATGGAATTGACTTCGCATAGCGCATTCGTTGCGAAGATTTTCGTCTTACAATTAATTTAGTGTTACTATGAAATCATTGGGATTAGCGAGTAATTCGCTAAGGCTACTTGATCATATCATCGATCCGGTGCGCAAATTTAACATCCGAAGGACAATCGTTATTTAGATTTAAGCAGAAATTGTCATACATTTCCCTCCTCGATATCTAAATTTGTCTGCAGAATAGCAGGACAAATCTTTGGAAAATGGCGACTTTCAGACAGGAAGCCAAAGGACATAGGTTTTTACATGAATAGGCACTGGGGCACTAGAATTTACGAGTTTTACCTAAGCCTTAATTTGCTCCAGCACCAAAACAAACAGAAAAATTTACCTCTAAATTAAGTCTTAGAAATAGTCTAAAGATAAGTACAAACATGAGGCCTAAAAAATCAAATAATGAGTGATTGATCACTCATTTTGAACGCTTATTGCAGTTTATGGAAAACATGAACGAAAAGGATGAATAGCCACACAATAGTCTTGGTACAATCTAGTCAGACTCAAATGGCTCAAACGAGTTTGTTTGTTAATTCTTCTATATAGAGGTAAATTTTGAGGATATTTCAAGTTTATCGTTGGATAGTTGATATAAATATATTGAGACAAAATTATTATATTGGAAAATTCGATGCATTACACTCGTTAATGTTCAAAACAAAAGAAAAAAATATGGACTTAAGTTTAAATATGTGATGGGATAAAAGTTACCAAAAAAAGTAGCAATCAAATAACACTATAAAGGAATAAAATAAAAAAAATCAAAAACAAAAGGATCTGATGAGTATGGTATGACAGCAATTGTTATTAAGGTGGTCACCAATAATCGCACATATATACTTCATGTGCTCAGAAATCAATTGCAGTTTCAAGAGTTGTATGATGAATATAAGCACACAAGAGAAAACAAGAAAAAAAATGCTAGACGACAGAGTACATAAAAAACAAAGTTCAGGATTGTTAAACGAATGCATGCAAAGTATAGAAGTGAAATAAATCTAAATTCAGATATTTTACAAAATCAATTAATGAAAAGTAGTCGATAATACCACCATAAATGAGAGGCCATTCTGCCTCGAAAGTTACATCTGCTCTGTGAGCTGCCAACATTCGTATTTATGCATGGTACTAGCAGCATTTCACCATAATAGTAAAAAAATCGGCTATGTGGTGTGAATGAAGCTTATGCGAGGTCGAAATTGCAGTCCACCCTGGTTATGAAAACCCTTTAAGAGGCAAGGCTGAATGAAATTAACTAACATCGAGAGAGAAACTCTTCTAGTAGCTATTAAATCCCCTTAAGCGAGGTAGTGTGACTAAGTTCCTAAGTTAAATTTTGGCCTAATAAAGAGTTATATGCAAACCAAACGTGTACATCAAGAGTATTTTACTCATATAGTTTAATATCATCGCAGTACAGGTAAATCCTATTAGTGGGGTAAGTTATTCCAATTAGAAAAAATTCCGACAGAATAAACTGCTAAAGAAATATATATGATGCAAGAATGAAGAATGCATTTTAGCACTATTCATCATATTAATTATCAATTATAAAATGTAAAAAAAATTGAGCAATCGGCGATATAAAGCACGTGGAACAGTTAGGATGAACGAGCATGACGTCAAAGTAATTCCTTATCTCCAAAGCCAAATCAGGATAAAATAGTTTTAAAGTAGATATGAAGACCAAGATGTTGCGGCTTCTATTTTGGTCAGTGTC